ACACGACGTGACGTGGAGAAAATGAGAGAGAGAGAAAGAAAGCGTGAAAGAGGGAGAACGAAAGAGAACGAAAGAGGAAGAGAACGAGAGTTAGAGCGAGAATGAGATTATATAGAGCGTGTATAGAGGGATTCGTGTTCGGTGAGCCTGTGCGCTGAGGCGTGCGTGGAACACGTTCGGGAGGAGAGAAGAGGCGGAGGAACGAAAGAAGAGGAGGTGGGATTGTTCGATGCGACGGTACTCGCGAACGCCAACTTTGCGACCGACTAACATATATATACATATATATATATATAGAAAAGCCGCGTGTATCTTGAACATTCTGTAACCGAAAAACAACAACAACAACAACAACAACACGGATACCATGGACCCGATTGCGCGATGGCGCTCGTCGTTCGACGAATGGTTGCCACTTGTGTTTCGGACTAATTTGGTCGGCAGCCATCTTGAGGCGAATAAATCTTGAGATACGGTCGCGTAAAAATGGAATTGCGTGTATATAAGACGCGTACTTTATACTGAGACCGCAGAGAGACCAATTCGTGATATGCTTGAAGAAGGATGGAAGAAGAGAATGAGAGAGAGAGAGAGAGAGAAATGAAAAGGTCGAACGATGCGCCATGCGCCCACACCTGGGACAGCGAAAGAGCCAAGAGACACACATACAAATTCGTACGAGACGCGTACGTAAAATTCCATACGGGCCAGATTCATACGCAACGGACACACTCACTCCCAACCATTTACCTGGCGACCTATATACATATACATATGCATATATATATGTATATACATATATATACATTGTATCTACATTTGCCACGTGAACACACGGAAACGCCCCGCCTGGTAGTGGCGTGGTGACACGATCACGAGTATATACAGAGACACGGAAGGATATACATACATACATATATATATATATATACATATATACACAAACACACACACACACACGGAGGCATCACGCGTCCGTGGTAAAGACACATTGAGGGCGGGGTGTGCGGACACTTAATATCGCGCACGACTTCACCAACACGTACACACAGATATTACCAACGTGTAATAATTTATTTTTTCACTGGTATAGTCGGAGAATTGATATTGAATATATCTGTAGAGCCTATGTATTATATTCAAAATATGCACTCACTTCGCGGGTTGTCGCGAAACGGTGTAGGGACTACCAGTATCCGGTCTGTCGAAGCGTCGACGAACGAACACCCGGGAAGGTTGTTAGTCGTGGCACATCTTCTGCTAGATTATTCCTCTTACGCACATTTGTTCGATTCGGGGGTGGAAGAAAACCGACGACCGAATCGAAGAGGAAGAAGGAGGACGATCTTTGAAGAAGAAAACGTGGCGGTGTTGGAAAAGCGAAGAGGACGATGATATATATTATATATGTAACACGGCTGGGATTCTTTCTCGATCGAGTCGCAGATGGTGCTCGCGGTTCCATACCGTTCGGAAAACTCGTCCTCGGTACGATTTTACATTTTATTTTTATAATAAATGCAGTAGAGCGTAGGAGAGAAAAAAAAATTGAAAAAAGCGAAGAAGCAAAGAAGAGGAGAGAAAGAGAGAGGGAGAAAGAATAGAAAAAGGGAAGAAGAGTAGTGGTGGCGTGTTCGCGCGAACGGGAATATGGCCGCGTTGCGTCGCTGCCCCCCCAAGGGAATCAGAGTTTCTCTTCACGGCCGTGAGCGCACCGTGGCGTTAGTGGCGTCTAGAGTCGACCGTCGTATCGAAGAAGAAAAAGAAAAAAAAAAACTTTGAAAAGAACGGTCGACTGCGGT